GAAGGAGGGAGGGAGGGAGGGGGAAATTTGATAATAAGAAAGGCAACAGGGCTTCATTGGTAGTGACTGAGAGCTGCTGAGAAGGTGCCTCTTGACAGTGCTGGCATAGCCTCGCAGTTCAGTGTTTTCAGGAGCTCCCTGTCTGGCAATTTTAACCCATGGGTATGAGGTCCCACTTAGATTTGGTAGCATCTTTGATCTTGGGTGTTGTGTATCCAGGCTCCTCTTCCTTTCTCCAAACAAGGAAGTTTTTTTTTTTTTTTTTTTTTTTTTTTTGGTCTTTTTGAGACAGGGTCTCCCTGTAGCCCCAGCTATCCTGGAACTCACTATGTAGACCAGGCTGGCCTTGAACTCACAAAGATCCACCTGCCTCTGCCTCCCGAGTGCTGGGACTAAAGGCGTGCGCCACCACGCCCAGCTGGAAGTTCTTTTTAAGTTAACAGGTTTCTTCCAGTGTTCCTGCCTTTTAATCAAGAATCAGAAGGACCACCCCATATCCTTATGTTGCTGTTTTTATTTCAAATAGTTATCATTAAATTTTATCTACTCACAAAATAATTGGCACAGCTACAGAAATGTATATTTGTTTTATATCCATCAAAGTTATTTGATTGCTCACACTTGCAACCCCAACACTTGGGAAGCTGAGGTGAGATCACTGAGTTTGAGGTTATTTGGGTTACTTGGTAACTTCTAGGCTCACCTGGGCAACAGAATGAGGTCTTAACCTTAAAAAAATAAAAATAAAATCTTGATTGTGTTTAATAATTTGGTACTTGTTAAAAGAACATAGTTTTTGTTCCAAACTTATTCTGAGTAGAAGAGATAGTCTACTGATTCTTTGTTGTGTTGTTTTGTTTGGTCCTATTGAGACAGGGTCTCACTATGTGGCCTGAGTGGCCTGGAACTCACCATGTAGCCTAGGCTGGTCTCAGACTTGCAGCAGATCCTCCTGTTCTGCCTTCTAAGTGCTGGAATTGCAGGTGTGCATCACCATACCCAGCTGTCCCCTTATTCTGTCTGAACATGGCCTTTCTCTCATAGGGCTCGTGCAATTCGCTTTAGACAAGACAATAATGAGGCAGTTGGGGGATTCTTCTCTCAGATTGGGCAGCTATATATGGTGCATCATCTTTGGGGTATGTATGTTCTTTCTTTTGTTACTGGGATTTAAGAGTTTATTACTAATTATGTTGTATGTAAAAGGCAGTGTGGCAAATCTGGAGTCAGTAACCCTAAAAATTATCAAATCCAAACACCACAGATGGATGGTTAAGTGCTAGGCTCTCTAGAGTATAAAGAATAGTAACAAGCAGTCTACGGCTCCATGGCTTTGTAAACTGCTAACAGGAGTTAGACTACAGAGCATGGCATGCCCCTTCAATCCCAGCACTCAGGAGGCAGAAGCAGGATCTCTGTGAGATCAAAGCCAGCCTGGTCTACATAGCAAGTCCAGGCCAGCTGGGGCTACAGGGAGACCCTGTCTCAAAAAGACCAAAAAAAAAGGAGTTGGAAGGGGGAAATGGGATGGTAGATACGATCATATTTCATTGTAATCATGTATGAAATTCTCAAGAATACAGAAATAATTATAATTATTAAAAGAAAAAAAAACAGGAGCTGGAGAGAGAGATTAGCAATTAAGAGCTCACTTCTTTTTTTGTCTTTTTGAGACAAGGTCTCCCTGTAGCCCTAGCTGACCTGGTGGAACTCATTATGTAGTCCAGGCTGGCCTTGAACTGACAGAGACCCACTTGCCCCTGTCTCCTGAGTACTGGGATTAAAGGTGTGTACACATAAAATAAAAGATGGCTTCACTTTTCTCCAAGGCCTAGCATTAATTTTGCTCAGAACAGTGGTACTAAGTGACCACAGTAGTGTCTGAGAAAGCCAGGTGGCCCGCTGAATGGCTGTATTGCTGGGGGTGCACTGTGTCTGACTTAGCCCTTGCTTCCATGTGGTTCTGTTTAAGCTTACAAAGATCTTCAGACCAGGGAAGACATACGGAATGCAGCATGGCACAAGCACGGCTGGGAGGAGCTGGTGTACTACACAGGTAAGCTGGTAACAAGTCTAAGGATAAAACAAAAATAATCAAATAAATTTGAGGCTGGGGATGTGGCTCAAACCTGAGTTTGATCCATAACACCAAAAAACAAGAGTAATTATGAAGTTAAATTTGATGTATTTTTAAGCCACATACTTAGAAAATAAGAGGGTAGTTTAGGAAGCAGTATCATCTTGTCTTTCAGTTTGGTGGAACAGGCATGCACTCATGCACTGTCAGCATTTGGGAGGTGAAAGCAGGAGGATCAGAAGTTCAGATCATCCTTGACTACATAGTGGATTGGAGGCCAGTCTAAAAAATCATATAATTGAATGTCATTTTCTGGTTTATTCTTTTGTTATTGATACAGGGTCTCACTGTATAGCCCAGGCTAGCCACAAGCTGGAGGGACTCCTCCTGTCTCAGCCTTTCACATACTAGCATTACAGGTGTGAGCTATCACACCTGGCTGTGTGATTTACTCTTAAACTTCTCATCAGTTTGCAGAGCATGTTTTACTCAAAAGTTTTACAAGTCGGGTATATCTTTTCCTTTCTTTTTTTTTTTTCCCCCTTTGGTCTTTTTGAGATAGTGTCTCCCTGTAGCCCCAGCTGGCCCAGAACTCACTATGTAGACCAGGCTGGCCTTGAACTCACAGAGATCTGTCTCCCTCTGCCTCCTGAGTGCTGGGATTAAAGGCATGCACCACCAGGCCTGGCTTTCCTTTCTTATTTAAAAAGATTATCTACATTTATTTATCTGTGTATGTGTGTGGTCATGAACACCACAGAGCACGTGGGGATATGAGAGGACAACTTTCCAAAGTCATTTCCCTCCTTCCACCATGTGGATTCCAGGGACCAAACTCAGGTCGTCAAGCTTGGCCAACAAGCCCCTTTACCTGCTGAGTCATCTTGCTGACCCCTATCTTTTCCTTTCTACAGGATATATTTAAATGCAGTATTATTCGGTTTTATATAAATTTTAATTCAAAGAACCTTTTGAGAAACCTTTTCTCACAACATGGACCTTTATAATTTCCCATAAATAAAACAGATCTCCAGGTCAGATCTCTGTCCATTTTAGTAACATCCTAGTTGGCTAAGTATTGCCATGCATATTTCTGCCCCTGTTATTAGTTCTCTTCTCCAGTACTCCCTCCTGTTTTCTAGTGTGCTTCTGTTAGTGTGTGTTTACCACAGTGTGTTTAGAAAGAACAAGTATCATAACCTCCATCCCTTTTCAGTCCCACTTATTCAGGAAATGGAGTCCAGAATCATGATCCCGCTCAAGACCTCACCCCTCCAGTGAAGCTAGAAAACTTTCATGTGCCTACAGATTTATGTGACGAGTACTTGTCATAAATTGATTTTAACCGTGTATCCAGTGGAAGAAGAAACACTGAGGTGTAAACTGCTGTACATAGCTTATGAAACCACTTTTCTTTAAATTTACCTAATCATGTGATGGGAACTGAAGACAGCTGGACTAACTGCAGCAGCACTTGAAACATCTCTTGTCGAATGTACCTTCCATCCTTCAGGAAGAGCTTAAAAATTGAAGCAGGTGTGGTGGCTCAGCACTCGGGAATCTTAAGGCGAGAGAATTACAAATCCTAGGCCAGCCTTGGCTACTAGGCTACATAATGAAACCCTGTCTCCAAAAAAAAAAAAAAAGCCTCTGGGTATGGTGGCAAATCCCTTTAATCTCAGCACTCTGGAGGCAGAGACTAGGGAATCTCTATGGGTTCGAGGCCAGCCTGGTATACCTAGCAAGTTCCAGGCCAGCCAGAGCTGTATAGTGAGACCCTGTCTCAAAAAAAAAAAAAGAAAAATCCCAAACATTAAAATTTGAAAAGTAAAATTCCAACTATAAAAAACAGCTATTTCTTTCTTAAAAGGAAATCTGATTTATACCACAGATTTTGACAAATTTCTTATGTCAGGAAAAAACAGAAATTTTGGCATGCTTCCTGAGCAGTTTTTCAGAGTCTCAGACTAGGAACAATTGCAAGTGTTCCCAATGCCTGAAGATGTTTTAACTCAGTCACTTTAAGTCAGCAGAGAGAACAGCATGTCTCCTGAGCAGGCTGAGCAGGAGGTGGGCAAGGTCCGTTTGACCAGTAAACCACCAATATCTACAGCGCAGTGTCCATGAGGCACAATGTGAACCCTGGATGATTTTGAGATGAACACCTGAAATAGCACGAATTTTATTTGTAATATTTTTCTATAAAATGAGTAGCTCTTGGAAAAGAGGTTTTATTTTATACACTGTCATTTGTGACCTCAACCTCTGGTTATATTTTGGTAAGTTCACAGCAGACACTTCCAAGATGGCGTGTGAAGGGTGGTGCACGTTGGGGTCTAAATCGGCATAAAGCCACATACTCTGTCTAGCTCTGTTTGAATTTGTTTTTTTTTTTAATGTAGTGTGCCAATTTTGTGACTACTGTAATCATGTGAAAGTCCTATTGAACTGAAAAATTATGTCTACCCTACCAACTGAAGAATTTATGCATAAAGTGTGAATAAATCTCCTATCAAATGTCAAACTTTTACATGTGAATGGTTTTCTCCAAGAACATATAAAAGTAAATAAAATCCTCTTAATTTTCACATACTGCATGTTTGAGATCTTTTTTGTTTGCTTGGTTGGTTTGGTGTTTTTGACACAGGGTCTAACTGTGTAGCCCAGGTTAGCCTCTGAATCTTCCTGCCTCCACCCATCAAATGCTAGGATTACAGGTGTGCATCACCAAGCAAGCGCTTAAGATCTTTTGATGTTTGTTTTGTTGCATTTGTTTATTTTGTATGGAGGCTGGGGAACAGCACAGGCATGGAAGTCAGAGAACAACTTAAAGGAGTCAGTTCTCTCCTTCTACCTTCCAAGTCCTGGGATGGAACTTAGGTTGTCAGGTTTGGTGGCTATAGACTGAGCTGTTTTGCCAGCCCTTGAGATCTTTTGTTGTGAACTTGTGCTTCAGAGGGCTTATATCCGGTGCCTTGAATGCAGCAGGAGAAATAGACTCAGCACAGAAAACACGCTTGTTTAGTTGGTTTGATTTGGGGTTTTTTGGTTTTTTTGGAGATAAAGTCTCACTTTATAGCCCATGTTGGCCTGGAACTTTCAGCAATCTTCTGGCCTCGCCCTCCTCCAAGTACTGGGATTATAGGACTGAGCCACCATAGCCAGAAGCCCCCCATTTTTGCATCAGCAATTGTACTGATCTGCCAAGAAAACCCAAGTACTTATCAATGTCTATGACCCCACTCTCTCCTCATTTTCAAAATAAGGGGGGGGGGGGGAAACCTACTGTCTTTCTCTGACTTTCTGTGAAAACTGCAATTTTTAAAATTAATTTTTGTTGCTGTTGTTTGGAGATGGAAAGGAGGGAGGGAGGGAGGGAGGAAGACCAGGGCCTGGAGAGGTGGCTCATCAGTTAGAGTACTTGGTGGTCTTACAGAGTACCCAGGTATACAAGGTGGCTCACAGCTATCTGTAACTCCAATTCCAGGGGATCAGACATGCCCGTCTGATTCCTCCATGGGAACCAAGCATCATGTGGTGCACAGGCATGCATGCAATTATACACATAAAATTTTTTAAAATTTTTTAATGAAAACCAGGACTGGGGATGCAACTCATGGCAGAGTGCTTGTCTAGCATTCACAAAGCCCTGATTCAATCAATCCCCAGTATCATATAAACCCAGGATAGGGATGCCCACTGTAATCTCACCACTTGGGAGGTAGAGGCAGGAGGACCAGTTCAGGGTTATCCTTGGCTACATAGTTTACAGACCATATGAGAGACTGTATCAACCACTTGTTACAAAATAGGCCTTCCACCCTAGGGAATATGATTTCATCTATTAATACTGTGGCTAGTGTTAATAAGTATTAGGTTGGGGTGAATACTCCTGGCTCCAGTAAATTGTTAACTCTAGTAATACATTAGATAAAGAATGCTGTGGAAATCATTCCAGTTCAGGAATGTGACCTGGTAGCAATCAGTACAGTGAGCACGTCTCCTATCATTTGAAAAGAAGACACCTGTACTGCTGATCTCAGGGCTTTAAGAATCACATGAGGAAAGATGGGAAAACAACTAGGAGGATGTGAAAATAAGTCTTATGTTCTATGGATGGGTCACTCCTCAACATTTCTAAATCTGATCATTTAGGATTCTGAGGGCTGGGGCTGGAGAAATGGTTCATTGGTTAAGAGCACTGACTCTTACAGGGGACCCAGGTTGGGTTCCCAGCGCCCACAGGGCAGCTGACAGCCATCTGTAACTCCACTTCCAGGGGATCTGATGCCCTCTTCTGGCTTCTGGGGGCATTGCACACACATGGTGCACTTACACACATGCAGGCAAAATAGTCATATACATAATAAAATAATTCTTAAAGATTGTGAGGGCTGTAGGGGCAAAAGCCACCATGTCTCTGCCAACACTCACCAAGGCAGCTCCTTGGATCTTGGAATTGCTCACTCCTGCCCTTGCTTTTGGGAATGGCAGCCAGGGCATCTCCCTGCCTATCATGGAGAAACACTTGCCTGGGGAGGAGACTATACAGAAGATTCATTAAAGTGGCAGTTCATCCAGAGAAGAATCAAGTGGGAATGTAGAGTGTCAGGCATAATGGTCATCTTTTTGGTTTTCTGTTTTGGCTTTTTTTGAGACAAGGTCTCATGTAGCTCAAGAATGACCTCAGATTCAGTATGAGTATGTAGCTTCTGATCCTCCTGTCTCTACATCCCCAGCACTGGGATTACAGTGTACACCACTACACCCGGTTTTCTGTGGAGCTGGAGATTGAGCCCTAGGGCTTCATGCATGCTTGCACTCTAACAGCTGAGCTACAACTCTACCCCTTCAGTGTCTTCTTCCTTTTTATTATGTTTATTTTATAGGTGCATGTGTGTGCTGGAGAGCTTTAGTGTCAACTTGACACCCCTGGGTTGAGGGGGCCTCAACTGGGGAATTGCCTCCTTAGGACTGGCCTGTGGCCATGTCTGTGGGGCATTTTCTTGATTGTTGAGTGATGTGGGAGGGCCCAGCACACTGTGGGTGGTGCCACCCCTGGGCAGGTGGGCCTGTGTTGGATAAGAAAGCAGGCTGAGCATGGACCAGGAGAGCAAGCCAGTAAGCAGTGTTCCTCCATGGCCTGTGCTCCAGCTCCTGCCTCCAGGCTCCTGCCCTGAGTTCCTACTTTGGGCTCCCTGATGATACTGTGACCTGGGAGATTTAAGACAAATAAACCCATTCCTCCCCAAATTGGTATTGGTCAGAGTGGTTTTGTCACAGCAATGAAGAAACAAACTAGGAAAATGTGCATGTGGAGCTGGTTCTCTCCTACCATGTGGGTCCCAGAAATCAAACTCAGGTTGTCAGGATTGGTGGCAAAGTGCTGTTATCTGCTGAACCATCTCACTGGCCAGCATCACCCTTTCTTTTCTTTTTTCTTTTCTTTTTATCTTTTTGAGATAGTCTCCCTGTAGCCCCAGCTGACCTGGCCCGGAGCTCACTATGTAGACCAGGCTGGCCTTGAACTCACAGAGATCCACCTGCCTCTGCCTCTGCTTCCCAAGTGCTGGGATTAAAGGCTTGCACCACCACACCTGACCCTGTATCGCTCTTTTCTTTTCTTTTTTTTTTTCTTTTCCTGTTCTGTTTTTATTCCATGAAGAATTAAGCATGAGACTGGGCAAGCCTTGTCAGCCATGGGTAGGGAATAAGATACAAAACCTTACATGTATACCATGTACATTCTGATCAACATATATATCTTTTTTTTAATTTGTTTTTATTAAATTTTGTTGTACTTCGTACATAATATCTCAAACAATATCTGAATCATCTTTATAGCCCCATCCCCACCAGAACCTTCCCATAGCCCCTCCACTGGAACCCATATACTCTGTCCTGGGTGTTGAGGCCCACTGTGTCGAGTCAGTGTCCCCAGATGTTCCCCAGTGCAAGTCCATCCACTTGCAGTCTAGTCAGATCCCTCTTATCTATTCAAATACCTATCATTTTCTTTTTTTTTAAACAGAGCATAGGGTGGAGGTTTATTTAAAGAGGAGTGGGCACCCCTCATTTACAGCTGCACTGAAAAGTCCACACTCAAATATAGATCCTGTGACTTCCTGACAGTCGCAGAAAATGATAAGAGAGGTGCTTCCTGGCATTCTCAGCTTATATATCCTTAGCCCCTCCCCCACACGTAGCTAAGGTCAACTAATTGGCTGGGAGGGGTAACTGACTCCCCCCTCGACTCCTTGATGAATGTGGGAAGGAGGTGTAACTATAGCTGGCTGCCATAGTGGTTGGAGGACCCTTTCGGGTAACACTTTATCCCTTCCTCCAGCTCTTATATTCTTTCTGCCAATCTCTTCCACAAGTCCCTGAGCCTTGGGGGGGGTGGGGGGAAATCACCCTTTCTTAAGCATAGAAAAATCTTAAGCTTTTTTTCTTCTTTCTTAAATTAAAAAAGTTTATTTTTATTTTGAGACAGAGTCTCACTATAGCTTGTAGACCTGGAGCTCACTATGTAGATGAGGCTGGCCTCAAACTCACAGAGCTCTGCCTGCCTCTGCTTCCTGAGTGCTGGGATTAAAGGCATATGCCACCACACCTAGTTTTCTTTTTAAATTTTTTTAAAGACTTGAGATTTTTTAAATTTTGGGTTTTTGAGAGGAGGTGGTTTTGGTTTTATGAAACGGTCTCACCATGTAGCCCTGGCTAGCCTAGAACTCACTATGTAGATCAGGCTGGTCTCATACACAGATCCACCAGTTTCTGCCTCCAGAGTGCTAGGATTAAAGGCATGCATCACCATACTTGGCTGATTTACTTTTAATATTTATGAGTGTTTACCTGCATATATGTATGTGTACCATATGTGTGAAGTGCCCATAGAGACCAGAAAAAGGTGTCCCATCCCCTAGACCTGGAGTCACTAACAGTTCTGAGCTGCTATGGGGGTGCTGGGAACTGAACCCAGATTCTCTGCCATAGCAACAAGTGCTCATAACTGCTGAGCCAGCTCTGTAGACACCCAATTTTTATTTAGGGGCGTGTGTGTGTGTGTGTGCTGTGTATGGGAGCATGCTAATATAGCATACATGTGAAAGTCAGAGGACAACCTTGTAGAGTGGGTTCTCTCCTTCCATTTGAACTCAGATTGCCAGGCTTGCATGGCAAGGGCTTTTACCCACTGAGCCAACTCACCAGCCCTGTTGTTTTGAAACAGGATCACATGTAATCCAGGCTGGCCTCAAACTCAGTATGTATCTGAGGCTGGCCTTGAACTCCTGATCCTCCAATTTCTGGGATTATAGCCATGCATTATACAGACCCAGCTGTTGCTTTTTTTGGACAGTATCTTACTATGTATCCCTGCCTCAGGCCCCATAGTACTAGGATTACGGATATGTGCCAACACATCTAGCTAGGGGGTTTCATTAATTTAACTTCTACCGGGGAAAATTTCAATTCCTTAGCTTTTTCTGGTTATATAAACAATTTTCATATGCAGAATGAAAAATGGCAACCCAGGGGCAGAAGCTGCATCTCGCTGCTGGTGCCATGAGCCCCCCTAGCGTACCCATGGTTTCACTCTTGGGAGAAAGACCCCCAAGTCTACTGCCAGCAAGCACAGAATTAGAAAAGCATCGAAAAGGTTGGTACAGTTGCTGTCTCATTTCACTCATCCCTCTGACACAACAAAGAAGACATTGTGCTGCTGTAGTATGGTAAGCTCAGATGGCCTGTGGCCCACAGAACTGGTGATAGAATTATAAACAGTTCCCTATGAATGTCACAATGACAGACTCCCCTCAAGCAAATTCAGCATACAACTGTGCAGGCCATTGTCCCACAGACTCTTACAACCAACCTGATGGTGGCTGCCTCTTCTCCGCTCTGGCTCCAGCATGCTGGGTGGTAGACCCTTCGTAGCATTTTGAAGAGACCCAGCATGCCTGGTCCTGCCCAGTTTGCTCTGTGAAAGAGTAGATCCAAAAAGCTGCATGTGGGAGAGCTGCCAGGAAGCATTTACAACTGGGCAACAACAGCCTTTTTGTTTGAGAACCAGAATAACTACTGCCAAGCTTACTCCACATCCCTCCTAGAAAACCTGATTATTTTGTTTTGTTGTGTTGTGTTGTGCCAGGGTCTTTCGTAGTCCAGGCTGACCTGGCTTGAAAATTATGATCCTCCTGTCTCAGCCTGGGTTTACAGGCATATACCACCATGCCCAGCCACTAAAAACTGATTTTGAAGGAAATTTGAAACATCTGATTTATTTGGCTAAAAAATAAAGTTTTTCAAGTAATTTACACTAATGAAACCATTGGGCAGTGGGGACTGGGGATGTAGCTCAGTTGGTAGAGTGCTTGCCTAACATTCATGAAGCCCTGGGTTAAATACCCAGTACCACATAAACTAGGCATGGTGGTGCATACCTGTAATCCCAGCACACAGGAGGTGGAAGCATGAGGATGATGAAGAGTTCAAGGTCATCCTCAGCTACATAGCTGAGATACATGAGACCCTATCTTTAGAATATTAGGGCTGGAGGTGCTGGAGAGATGGCTCAGCAGTTAAGAGCCCTGGTTGCTCGTCAGTTCCCAGTACCCACATGATGGCTAACAACATCTGTAATTCTAATTCCAGGGGATCCAACGCCCTCTTCTGGCCTCTGTGGGCAAGGCATAACACAGGTGCATTTACATACATATAGGCAGGAAATTAATACACATAATAACAAATAATTTTTTTTGAAATTAGAGCTGCAGAGTAAGTAGCTCAGGGGTAGAAGGAGCACCTACCTAGTATTTTGCAAAGCCCTAGGTTCCTCCCCAGCACAACCCCACAAAACAAAAACAAAACCCCCCAAATCCATATGCCTTTCACACTTAATTATCCAACAGTATTCCGTGTGTCTTCCTAACCCTGTCTCCCTTCCTCCTGTTTTTCCAGGAAAAAGAGTAAATAATCTCATACTTTCAAAGCATTTTCTGGAATTTCCTTCTCTTGCTACTACTTAAAACAAATATGAATGCAACCTTCAGGTCTGTCCAAGTCATCTATGAAAAAGAACTCTATGTGCCTATGTATGTTTATGTATGTGTGTGATGTGTGTGTGGTATGTTCATGTGATGTGTGGATGTGTGTGGTGTATGTGTGGATGTATGTAATGTGTGTGTATGTCTGATGCATGTAATGTGTGCATGTGTATATGATGTATGTGTGTTGTATGTAATTTGTATTTGTGGATGTGATGTGTTTGTGGTGTGTATGAGATATGTGTGGTATGTGTATTTGTGCAGTGTAACATGTGATGTGTGAGATGTGTATAGATGTGTATGTGTGTAATGTATGCATGTGTGATATGTGTGTGATGCGTGTGCATTTGTACAATGTATATATGTATACATGTGATGTATAATGAATGCATGTGTGTGATGCATGTGAGATGTGTGTGTGTGATGTGAGGTATGTGATATTTGTATGTGTATGAGGTGTGCACTGTGTTTGTAAGATGCATGTGTGTGTTTGTGGTGTGTGTATGAGATATATGATGTGTGTTTTGTGATGTCTGGTATGTGTGCATGTGTGTAATGTGTGATGTATACATGGGGAATGTGTGATATGTGTGCTGTTTATGATATATGTATGTAGTATGTGTGATGTGTATGATATGAGTGGGGGGTTGTGTGATATGTGCATGCTGGTGTGTCAGTATTCTGTGATATGTATGATGTGAGTGGGGGAGGTGTGATATGTGCATGCTGGTGTGTCAGTATTCTGTGATATGTATGATGTGAGTGGGGGGTGATATGTATGACGTGAGTGGGGTGTGTGTGTGTGATATGTGCATGCTGGTGTGTCAGTTCGCTCCTTCCACCTAAGCCATCTCCTAGGACCAGGAACTGTGCTTTAATTAGGGAAAAAATTTTATCTTCCTTTGTGATTCATAAATCTTTGTTTTTGGTGTTTTCTTTTGTTTTGTTTGAGACAGGGTCTCACCATGTAGCACTGACTGGCGTGGTACTCACTATGTAGACCAGCCTGGTCTCAAACTCACAGACATTCACTTGCCTCTGCCTCCTGAGTGCTGGGATGAAAGGCATGCGCCACCACACATGGCTTCCTTTTTGGGAGACAGGATTTTACTCTGTAGCCTAGGCTAGCCTGAAACTCTCCATTCTCCTGCCTCAGCCTCCCAAGTGCTGGGATTACATGTGTGTCACAGTGTCCAGCCACATTAAAACAACAACTCCAGTGAAAAAAATATTTCTACTCTTCTGTGCCAGTTGAAGTGAGGTGTGGATGGGGACACTGCACCCAGCACTATGAACAAAGAAGTCTTAACCCTCTTCTTGGCATGATCTGGTTTCAACTTAAATACAGCTGCTGAAACACTAGAAACTGAAATACGAAAGCAGCAGAACTGAAAATGGAACGAGTCTGTTCTGACAGATGCATAAACTTTTATTTCTATATCAAAGGGAAACCCAATATTCATGTAAGGCTGCTGAATCCATGTTACTGAGAGTGCTTAATTTACTAAGCACCTCAGAAGGCTTCAGGTAAAATATAGCTAGGAATAGATAAAGAATTCAAACTATAAAACTCTCCAGGTAATTAGTGGTCATATTAATATTGCAACTACAGCAGAAAAAAAAATAGCACTTTCTAGACTCCTAGGAGCCTATAACTTTGAAAAACTCATCTGAAGTTGGTATTATTCTTCCAGTTCTCCCAAAAGCTCAACAAAATCAGTGATATACCATTTGGCGTTGTCCTTTACTTGCTGCCTGATCACATTTCCTCCGAATCCAATGAAAGCATCCTAAGAAGGAAAAAGAAAGAGGAAGTCTTAAAAAATGGCACAGCAGAGGCTGCAGAAATGGCTCAGTGGTTAAATGACCCAGGTTCATTTCCCAGGACCTACATGACAGCTAATATAACTCCATAACTCCAGTTCCAAGGGATCCAACACCCTCTTCTGGCCTCCTCAGGCACTGCAAGCACATGGTACACTTACATACATGCAGGAAATTCACTCATATGCATAAAATAATTTTTTAAAAAAATTTGGTGGGGGTGGGGAAAAATTTTTTTAATTTAAAAAAGATAGCAGAAGCCTAAATGATTAAAAACAAGAATATGAAATATATATTTAAGAAACTAAATATACAGGGTTGGAGTGATGGCTCAGCAGTTGAGAGCACTAGCTGCTCCTGCAGAGGGCCTGGGTTCAGTTCCCAGTACTCACACAGAATAAATAAATACAGAAAAAATGCTTTGAAAGGTTTTCGTTCTTTATTCAGGCGTGGTAGCACATGAAAATCCCAGCACTCGGGAGGCAGAGGCAGGCGGATCACTGTGAGTTCAAGACCAGCCTGGTCTACATAGTGAGTTCAGGTCAGCTGGGACTACAGGGAGACCCTGTTTCAAAAATAAAAATTTTTTAAATAAATAAATAAATAAATAAATAAATAAATAAATAAATAAATAAAAAGGAACAGGGTTTGTAAAGTCCTTGATGTAAGAAGGCCTACTGCCTTTTAGTTTTACGGTCTTACAGTGATATTTAGCCGCTCTTGTTTGGTGCCTGTTACGAACTTTGTACAGTTCTCAGCCAGACATAGAAAACAAAAATCACAACTCGAAAAAAATTAGCACCTGAATACGTACAGCAGGAGGACAGGCTTCCAAGTCTGTAGCTCCATCTCCGATCATGACTATTTTCTTAAAGTGAAATTTTTCCTTTAAAAATTTAATAACTTTTCCTTTCCCACCAGATTCGGCTGTTGGCTGTGTCTCATCAAAACCTGCATATTCACCTGAAAAGAGCAGTTTAAAAACATTAAAGATTCACAGAAGCATATTACTAGAGCCACTTTTTTCACAAGAGATCCTTGCTTAAATACTAGCCTGGGACTCAACCCTTATCCCTGACAAGGTGGCTCTAATAGGCCACCTTGAGTGAAATGAGCTGCATCCACGAAGCTTCCGGTGCAGTAATTCGAAATCTTGTTGAGATGGCAGAGTATTCAACTGCTCAGTAACACTGATTTACCATGTTAATACATAGACTCACTAAGGGGCACTAACAGCAACTTTTCCTATTGTTTTCTATTTTCTTTTCTTGAGACAGGGTCTTATGTAGCCCAGGCTATCTTCCAACTTACCATATATTCTAGGATGACCTTAAACTCCTGATCCTCCAGTTTCTACCTTAGAGTGCCAGGATTAGAGGTGTGTGCCTGGTTTATACATAAACCTGGTTTATGCAGTTCAAGGGATGGAACCCAGGGCTTTGTATATGCTAGACAAGCACTGTGCCAAATGAAGTACATCCCTCACTCCACAATTATTTCTACAGTTATAAAAATTAGCACACTCATTAATAGATTTAGGGACTACATTTAGTGTTGGAATTGTTTTGTTTTGTTTTGTTTGTTTGTGTTTTGAGACAGGATATCACTTTCTAATTCAGACTAGCTTAGAACTTTGAATCAGTCTTCCCACCTCAGCCTCCCAAGTGTTAAGAGAGTCACCTTGCCTGGCTTGCTCATTTGTGGTTTTGTTTTGTTTTTTCCCAGTGTGTGTGTGTGTGTGTGTGTGTGTGTGTTGTCTGTTGGCTTGGTTTTTTTATTTTGTTTTAAAGACAGGCTCCACATGGTCAAGAATGACTCGCAACTTTTTTTTTTTTTTTAAGTTTTTTTGAGACAGGGTCTCCCTGTAGCCCCAGCTGGCCTGGAACTCACTATATAGACTAGGCTGGCCTCGAACTCACAGAGATCCACCTGCCTCTGCCTCCCAAGTGCTGGGACTAAAGGTGTGTACCAGCACACCTGGAAGAACTCTCAACTCTTAATCCTCCTGCCTCTAGTTCCCAAGTACTGAGATTACAGGTCTGTACTACTATGTCCAGTTTCTTCTTCCTTCCTTCCTTCCTTCCTTCCTTTCTTTTTTTTTTTTTTTTTGAGACAGAGTCTCTCTGTAGCCCCAGTTGGTAGTAAAGCTGGTATTAAAGGCCTAAGCTCCCACCCCCAGGTTTTTTTTTTTTTTTTTTGTCTTTTTGAGACAGGGTAGCCCCAGCTGGTCTGGAACTCACTATGTAGACCAGGCTGGTCTCAAACTCACAAAGATCCACCTGCCTCTGCCTCCCAAGTGCTGGGACTACAGGCATGTGCCACCACACCCTGCCACACCCAGCTTTTTATTTAATTTTTTAAAGATTTTATTTTGTGTATGAGTATTTTCATATACACACACAAATAAAAATAACAAAACATTTTTAAAAGAATCATTCATGTAACTCTTAACTCTAGTGCCACCTTCTTTATTTATTATTTATTATTTTTATTTTACATGCATGAGTGCACTGCCTGCATGTATGTGAGTGCACCCATGTTGTACAATGCCATGGAGGTCAGAAGAGGGCTTTGGATTCCCCTGGAACTGGAGTTAAGGATGATTCATAGCTGCCATATGGATGCTGGGAATCAAACCTGAGTCCTCTGCAAGAGCAGTCAGTACTCCCAACTGCTGAGACATCTCTCCAGCCCCTAGTGCCGCCTTCTTAAGTTATATTCTGTGCTGGATAGCTTTAGTGTCAACTTGACACATCTAGGTTGAAGGAGCCTCAACTGGGGAATTGCTTCTATTGAACTGGCCTGTGGCCATGTCTGAGGGGCATCTTCTTGATGAGTGATGTGGGAGGGCCCAGCCCACTGTGGGTGGTGCCACCCCTGGGCAGGTGGGCCTGTGTTGTATAAGAAAGCAGGCTGAGCGGGGGCCAGGGGAGCAAGCCAGTAAGCAGTGTTCCTCCATGGCCTGTGCTCCAGCTCTGGCCTCCAGGTTCCTGCCCTGAGTTCCTACCTTGGGCTCTCTGATGAACTGTGACCGGGGAGATATAAGATGAATAAACCCTTTCCTCCCCAAGTTGGTAGTGGTCAGAGTGTTTTGTCACAGCAATGAAGAAACAAATTAGGACATATTCCAACAGATACTATCTAGATTATTAAACAAAAGAACAGGTAAGAAATCATATCTTAGCACAGCATAGTGGTGCACACCTGTAGTCCCAGCACTTGGGAGACAGAGGCAGAGGGATCTCTCTGAGTTCAAGGCCAGCCTGCTCTACATAGTGAGTTCCAGGCCAGCTGGGGCTACAGGAAGACCCTGTCTCAAAAAGACCAAAAAAAAAAAATCATATCTTAAAATAGGGAATACACTACCATTAAAATCTTACCATTAAAGTAGAATTTCAGTCTATTGGCAAATACATTGCTCGCTGGGATATTAAGCTTGGCAGCAACATGCTCCACAATACTCCTAAAGCCACCAGATATGAGGAAAACCTGAACATTTCGCTCCTGTAGACGACTTACCAGCTCCCTGTAGAATACATATAAAATTCCAAACAGCAATTCAGATGAAAGGAAACATGAAGAAGCTAATTATTTTCCCTCCTGAATGCAACCACTAGAGGCTCATCTAACAAAGACATTGCCTATAGGATTAACATTTTTAATATATAAATATTTGTATTGAGGTTTTGTAATTTCATACAACAGTTCTTAATCAAATTTAGATCCCCTCCCCAACCAGGCCTCCCCCATTCTCCACCAGACCTCATGTATTCTGCCATACATGTTAAGTCCTATCTAGTCAAGCATTTTTACCCAAATGTCCTTCAGTGTAAATTGGTCCACTGGAGTCTACTTAGCCCATCTAGAGATCATCTCCCTCACCCAGCAGCAATCAGTTTCCAACATTTCTCAGTCTAGTGCTGGCCTGCCACCTATTTCTCTCCTCCCCTTTGGGCCCTTGTTTAATTGAGTTGGCATGGGTCTTGTGCTCAATGCCACCATTGCCACAAGCTCACATGTGCAAACTTCCAGTGCCCAGGAAGCCTCTGCTTCCCTGTCTTCATGAACCAGCCCTGGCTTTTACAATCTTTCTGCCCCCTCTTCCGAAATGGTCCCTGAGCTGTGGGTGGTAGGAGTCCCATCCTACACCCTGCAGTCTCCTGTTCCCTACAATTAACATTTCATATGTTTGTTTTCTTTCTTGTTTGCACATTTGTTTTTGTTTTTGAATAAAATCACTTCCTTGTAACTCACAAATAAAAATATCTCGCAGGTAGTTTAAGGAAGCCACTTGCCCAGTCCCAAACTCTACATCTCTCAGTGAGCTGCTGTGCAGTTAGAACAACCATTTTGAAGCATTGGAGTGTCACTTAGGGTTTTCCCCTTTTACTGTCAATTATATTTTCATTCACATATCCATTTTCATGTTACTTTGTTGTGTGTTTTGTTGTTGTTTAGCTTGGCTTTTTTTGTGTATTTTGTTTTTATTCTGTTTTTTGAGACAGGGTCTCCCTGTGGCTTCAGCTCGCCTGGAACTCACTATATAGGCCAGGCAGACCTCAAACTCATAGCGATCTGCCTACCTCTGCCTCCCAAGTACTGGAATTAAAGGCATTCACCACCACCCTGGCCTAATTTGGTTTTTATTTGATTTATTTTATTTTTTATGTGTATGAGTGTTTTGCCTGCATGTATGTATATCCATGGCATGCAGTGCCTGCAGAAGTCAGAAGAGGGCATCAGATCCCCTAGAACTGAAATTACAATAACTATTAGCCATCATATGGGTGCTGAGAACTGAACCTGGGTTTTCTGCAAAAGAAACCACTAAGCCACCTCTCCAGCCCCAGCTTCTTGAGAATTTTAATATAATTGTGCTCTAAAACATTTTGCCCAAGGAGACGCAAGCTGACAACATGCTCGATGTTATTAGCACATATATGCAAGAACAAATTTTGTTGTCTTTTTGAGTTCCAGCTGTTCTGGAACTCACTACATAGACCAGGCTGGCCTTGAACTCACAGAGATTTGCCTGCCTCTGCCTCCCAAGTGCTGGGATTAAAGGTGTGTGCCACCAGGCCCAGCCCCAGCTTCATTTTTATTTAAGACAAGGTCTTACTATATAGTCAGACTGGTCTTAAACTCACTATGTAGCCCAGGCTAGCCCCGAATCCACAGCAGCAATCCTGTCTCAGCCTCCTCGGTGGTAGTATTTCAGATGTGAGCCACAGCATCTGGTCTTGGATTTTTCCTTTGCTTGTTTGTTTGATTGGTTGGTAGATTTTTGAGATTAGCGGGTCATGTATTTGAGGATTACCTTGAACACTTGATTGCCTGCCTTCACCTCCCAGGTGCTGGAATTACATATCTCGTGGTGTGTGTCTGTGTGTGTGTGTGTGTAGACAAGGTCTCATTATTTAGCACAGATTTGCCTTGAACTCAAGATCCTCCTTCCTCAGCCTCTTAAGTACTAGGATTACAAATGTACACCACCATTCTGTGCTTTATATGTAATTTTTTTAGATGCACTTAGAAATTAACAGGTGGAACTTTTCGGTTTTCAGGAAACCATTGCATAACCATAAGATAAACCCAAGAGAAGCCAAGAGCAGGAGGACAGACCTGGACAAAACCGGACAGCCAGAAAAAGCAGACATAAGCACCAAGAGAGCCACACAGGAGGGAACCCAACAGCAATAGACTCAGGCAGGAAGAGTTTCCCAAATCCCAGCGCTAATAAAAAGACAGTGTGCCAGTGGTCAAGGCTGTGCTTACCTTATGCCGGGGGTCAGGTGTGGGGGATGCTCAGCTAGCAGCCTTTGCACCTGCTCCCTGGAGGGCTGGATCAGTGCCAAGCGCTCAGTGAGCGCAGCTTTGAAAGGCACTGCCCCACCCATGGCTCTCCGTGTCCTAGAAGGAAGACCCAACAGTCAGGTCAGGCATGGCAGCTATCTTGAGTCAACTTGCCTTCCTGTGCCAAGTCTTCATGACATCCACCATGAAGAAGGTAGTGCCCCGAGCCCAGCTCTGCAGCAGATGCTGTGCGCTGCACTGCGGGAGGTTTTCTTGGGAATCCCACTGACACTCTAATGCTAGGTACTGTCCCCACAGCAGATCCTACTATGAACTCAGAAACTACATATCTCATCCACAGGCACCTTCCTTGGGAGTCATGAGCCTTGGTAACCAAGAAGGAAACCAAAGGCCAATGCTTGTGCATCAAATGCAGTCTAGGAAAGTGTTACTGCTGCAGAATGGAGAGGCAAAGAGAAGGGACAGAGGGTTCCAACCTGGGATGGCTTTCTAGTGAAGCACTACGACCATACTTTCAACCATGACAGGACTGCTAAGAAGCTCTGGGCTGTCTTCTTGGTTTAATCATTTTCCCAACCAACCTGAGAGTGTGCCTCATCCACAGAGACCTTTTTTTTTTGAATATTTGCCTTATTTATACAAGTAGATAAATGAATAAAGCACGCTACTGAATTCAGTCCTAGGTGATGGGAGGAAATACCTAGGAAAAAGAACTTCCTAGCATTGGGCCCAGACTAAGCTAAGAATTATGGCCCTGGCCTAGTATTTCATCTAAATGGTCATTTTTTTAAACTCCTTACTGTCTCATAAAGGGAATAAAGATGGTTCCTACATTTCTGACACAGCAGCTTCCACACCACAGAATTTGGCCAGCTCATCAATTCCTTCTTCTCTGATGACTGTGCTGTCAACATCAAAACACACAGCATCTGCTGAGGAGAAGAGTTTCCTCAACTCTGAGTGGGAGACCATTCTTGGAAGAATCCTATAAGACAAAATGATACATTTATGTAAAAATATAAAGTATAATCACAAGGGTCTGAGACTGAATGTTGCTCAGTGGGTAGAGTGTTTGCCTAGCATGCACAAAGTCCTGAATTCCATCCCCAGCACTTCATAAACCAGGCGTGGTGGTGCATGCCTGTCATCTCACACTGGGGAGGTAGAGGCAGGAAGATCGGGAATTTAAGATCATCCTTGGCCACATAGCAAGTTTAAAACCATCCTGAGCAATATGACAGCCTGTCTCAAAAAACAAAAAGGAAATGAAAAGGTGGGGGCTAGTAAAGGTGCTTACCACCAAGCCTGACCACAGCCACATATGCAATGTGCTATGCCCACACCTACACACACACACACACACACACACACACACACACACACACACACACACACACCATAGCAACAACAATAAACGAATATTTTGTTTTTATTAAATTTTTATTTATTTTGTATACATGGGGGAAGGGATGCATGTAGGAGTCAGTGGACAATGTAAGAGTCAGTTCTCTCCTTCCACCACATAGGTTCTGGAATCAAGTTCAGGTTGTCAGGCTTGGTGGCAAGCACCTTTACCAACTAAGCCATCTCACCAGCCCCATAAATAAATTTTTAAAAATTTTTAAAGAACTAGAACTTAGGGGCTAGAGAGATGGCTCAGGGGTTAAGAGCACTGACTGTTCTTGCAGAGGACCCAGGTTCAATTCCCAGTACCCACATGACAACTAACAACTGTCTGTAACTCCAGCTCCAGGAGGTCCAACACCTTCTTCCAACCTCCGTGGGCATTGCACGACACAGGTGCACTTACACACATGTAGGCAATATACTTCATACATACAAAATAAAAAGAATAAATAAAATATTTTTTAAAAAAGAACTAGAACTTGTTCTTTAAATAGGTCATGTTTTTGTTTGTTTTTGTCTTTTTGAGACAGGGTCTCCCTTTAGCCCCAGCTGGCCTGGAACTCACTATGTAGACTAGGCTAGCCTTGAACTCACAAAGATCTGCCTGCCTCTGCCTCCCAAGTGCTGGGATTACAGGCGTGTGCCACCATGCCTGGCATAGGTCATGTTTTTTAAATGACCCCGGCCCCCTTGTTTCTTCGGCCTGGACTTACCTCGTTTTCTAACATGCAGAGGGAATTACCTCCCCTACTCTGTACTTGCTTCTCAGTCCCCTGAGATTTAATCACTTCCCTCTCTCCCATAACATGTGGGGCAGGGTCCAAGACTAAATAAATGATCTACTTCTGCACCTAGCACTTAAGAAATGCTACGTAAATGTTTCGTGAGTTAAAAACAGTTGAATCAGGCTGGGCATGGTGGGACACACCTTTCGTTCTAGCACTCAGGAGGCAGAGGCAGGCAGATCTCTGTGAGTTCAAGGCCAGCCTGGTTACATAGTGAGTTCCAGGCCAGCTGGGGCAACAGGGAGACCCTGTCTCAAAAAGACCAAAAAACAAACAAACAAACAAACAAAAAACAGTTGAATCTAAACAATATTGAGAACTTGACAGGAATTGAATATATCATTATTCTCAATAAAACAATTCCACCCAAGTGTGAAGTGTGTAGGTAGGTAGTATATGTCTGTAAACCCAGCACATGGGAGGTTGAGGCAAGAGGATCTGGAGTTCAAGGCCAAACTGGGGTTATGTGTGAGTTCTGGTCTCAATAAAACTTAAAAATTTCTGTTAGGTAGACAATACAATGGTGGTGGTGGGGTGACACCAAGAATGAGGGGAGACTACGCAGATGGAAGCCACTCTCACAGATCATCAGTTTGCACTGAGCCAGGCAGTTCCACATCCTGTCTGTGGGTTCGAAACTACTCATTCAACTCCAGCCCAGCAGACTCAACATAATCCACAGTAGTGAGTCAGGCAGGCTCACAGAAAAGTCTATAAGACAACAGCCAGCTATGGACAGAGAATCAATGGGAGTCCAATGAGCATGAATAGTTAGGTCTGAGTGGGAGTGGGGCAAGAGGAAGAGAAATTACATAAGAGCATTATGTAAGAGAGGCTGAGATGGGAGCCTGAGAGTGACTGACAGGCACGTGAAGCCTCAAACCAGTAAGAGGCTGGTCAGTATTGCTGAACAGCAGGGCATGGTGGTACACACTGGTGCTTGTAATCCCAGTGCTTAGGAGGAGGAGGCAGGAGGATCAAGGAGTACAAGGTCATTCTTTGGTTCATTGTAAGTTTCAGTAATAAGTTCAAGGCCAGCCTGGGCTAGAGATCCTGTCTCCAAAAAAACAAAGCAATAACAACAAACCCAGCAGGCATGGTAATATACCCCTGTGTTCCCAGCACCAAGGAGGATGGGGCAGGAGGATTGTTAGTTCAAAACCAGGCCTGGTCTACACTGTAAGACAGTCAAAAATTTAAAAATTGAGCTGGGTGTGGTGTTGCACGCCTTTAATTCCAGCACTTGGGAGGCAGAGGTAGGTGGATCTCTGTGAGTTTTTAGCCAGTCTGATCTACATAGTGAGTTCTAGGCCAGTTGAGGCCATAGGAAGACCCTGTATCAAAACAAACAAACAAAAAAATCTCTTGGCTATAGGGGAAAACTATCTGCTAAGTTTAGTTGCCTCAAAATGTGTACATTTGAATTTCACAGAAAGGAAAAAAAAAATTTCAAAAAAAAGAAAAAAAAAAAAAAAAGAAAAGAAAAAGAAAAAAAAAAACTGCTGGGAATGGACTCTGGAACTTTCACATCTGGCTCTTGGGGGAAGGGAAGCCCAGGCTGGAGGAAGGGTGAGTCCTGGTAGAAGGATCTGTACTCAAACACAGGCCCAGTCCCACTCACCACCTTCTATAGCTCAGACTGGGGCTTCAACTTTGCCAGCCCCTGGCAGCAGGTCCACTGGACTTTAATTTTAAAACTGTGCTGACAAGCTCTACTTACCCCATGCTCCAAAGTACAAGTTTTCCTTCAGGGCCAGACTTAGGAGGCCTGATTTTGAATAAGAGAGGAAAAATAATCTCCTTGCCTAAACAAATCCCAGCTTTTCCATCTAATAATCTTGCAAGAGGCACCAAAGACTGCATTATCTCCTTTACCATTTGTTAAGATTGACCTCTTACCTTTACAGCTGCGTAAAAACAGGTTTTCAAAAATGAGTGTGGCCGGGTGTGGTGGCACATGCCTGTAGTCCCAGCACTTGGGAGGTAGAGGTAGGCAGATCTCTGTGAGTTCAAGGCCAGCCTGGTCTACATAGTGAGTTCCAGGACAACTGGGGCTACAGGGAGACCCTGTCTCAAAAAGAAAAAAAAAATGAGTGTGGTGGTATAGGCCTATAATCTTAGCACTTGGAAGATGGAAGCAAGAGGATCAGAAGTTTGAGGCCAGTGGGGCTGCATGAGACCCTGCCTCAAAACAGAAGATTAAAGTCAGCACAATGGTCCCAGAGGTTAAGTGAACCTGAGAGCACCACACTTACTGGGTTTTGTAGTAGGAGCAAATCTATCGAGGCCCCTGGGCAGTGCAAAACAGTTGCTGGGAAACCTCTGAATGCAAGTCAGAGACCCTCTCTAAACTAAGCAGAGAATCACCAGGCAGTGAATTTTCTCTCTCTTTCTTTCTTTCTTTTCCCATTGTTGTTGCAGCAGAATCTTGCTAGATAGCCCAAGCTGATAGAGAACTCCTTATATGAACTAGGCTGAGTTGAACACAAGCATTTACCACTACACCTGGTCATTTATTATATACATATATATATATATGTCTTTTTTTGAGACGGGGTCTTCCTGTAGCCCCAGCTGTACTGGAACTCACTATGTAGACCAGGCTGGCCTTGACCTCACAGAGATCCGCCTGCCTCTGCCTCCCAAGTGCTGGGACTAAAGGCGTGCACCACCACGCCCAGCCCTTTTTTTAACTTTAAAAAAAAAATTTTATTTATTATTTTTATTTTATGTGTATGCATGTATTTTCTGCATGTAGGTAAGTGCACCCGTGTTGTGCAATGCCAGCAGCGGTCAGAAGAGGCTGTCGGATCCCCTGGGACTGGAGTTACAGTTGTTAGCTGCGTGTGGGTGCTGGGATTAGAACCCAGGACTTCTGCAAGAACAACCAGTGTTCTTAACCACTGAGCCATCCCCCCAGCCCATTAATAATGTATTTTATGATTAAAAAAATAGCTATTCCAGGGTTGGAGAGATGACTCAGCAGTTAAGAACACTTTCTGTTCTTCCAGAGGACCTGGGTTCAATTCCCATCACTCACATGACAGCTAACAACTGTCCATAACTCCAGTTCCAGGGGCTCCAACACCCTCTTCTGGCCTCTGCAGGGCTTTGCACATACCTGGTGCATTTACATATATGCAGGCAAAACATTCATATACATAAAAATAATAAATAAAATTTTTATGGTCCTTTTGTTTTTGAGACATGGTCTCCCAGTAGCCCCAGCTGGCCTAGAACTCACTATGTAGACCAAGTTGGCATTGAACTCACAGAGATTCACCTGCCTCTCCCTCTGAGTACTGGGATTAAAGGAGCGTGCCACCATGCCTGGCATAAATAAAAATTAAAAAAAAAAAAAAAAACAGTCAGGCGTGGTGGCACACACCTTTAATCCCAGCACTTGGGAGGAAGAGGCAGGTGGATCTCTGTGAGTTCAAAGCCAGCCTGGTCTACATAGTAGTTCCAGGACAGCTGGGGCTACAGGGAGACCCTGTCTCAAAAAGACAAAGAAAAAAAAAAAAAGAAAGAAACAGCGGCCTGGAGAGATGGTTCAGCGGTTAAGAGCACTGACTGCTCTTGCAGAGGACCCGGGTTCAATTTTCCAGCACCCACATGGTGGCTACGAACTGTCCTTAACTCCAGTTCCAAGGGAATCTAAAGCCCTCTTCTGACCTCCTCAGCATTGCATGACATGGGTTCACTCGCATACATGCAGGCAATACACTCATACACATAAAATAAAAATAATAAATAAACGGGCCGTGGTGGTGCATGCCTTTAATCCCAGCACTCGGGGGAGGCACAGGCAGGCGGATCTCTGTGAGTTCAAGGCCAGCCTGGTCTACATGGTGAGTTCCAGGACAACTGGAGCTACAGGGAGACCCTGTCTCAAAAAGACCAAAAATAAAAATAAATAAATAGTAAATTAGTTAATTAATTAAAATAAAAAGAAACAGCTATTCTGGGCAGGCAAGATGGCTCAGTGGGTAAAGGCCCTTAGTACCAAGCATGACAACCTGAGTTTGACCCTGGAACCTACACAGTGAAGGGAGAGAACTGACTTCTGAACATTGTCCTCTGACTTCTTCTTACACACTATAGAAGTAGTAATAATTAGCAGACAAACAAAAAAACCCAACTATTCAGGCCAGGCATGGTAATGCATATCTGAAATGCCAGGACTCCAGAGGCTAAGGCAGGAGGATAGGAGGATTGCCATGAATTATAGCCATCCTGGGCTACAAAGTGAGCCCCTGCCTAAAAAAAAAAAAAAAAAAAACAGTAGAAAAAAAAAATTCTTCTGGCTACCAGAGGTGGCATGCATGCATCATAGGTTATGGTAGACATTGCTTTGCTTTTTTTCTTCTTTTTTGTTTTTGAAGACAGGGTCTCCTGTATCCTAGCTTGGCCTTGAACTTGCTATGTAGCTGAAGAAGGTCTTGAAGTCCTGATCCTCCTGCTTCCACCTTCAGAGTGCTGGGATGACAGAAAGCACCACTCTACCTAGTTTATGCAGTGCTAGGGATGGAACACAGGACTCCATGCATGCCAGGCTAGGAATGTGCTCTACCCACGGAGTCACATCCTCAAACCCAACACACACTGCTTTTCATTCAGATTTGAAGATTAGCTGATAGGCAAACATAGCAACCAAACACACAGAGATGTCTAGGACTCACGCTTCTCCAGTGCAGGATTCCTGGGTGACAGTGCTTTTCTCTTCCTCCTCCTTTGCTGGTTACAAACGCACCACAAACTTCAGGCTACAGATTTCTTTTCGAAATATCTGTGGGTTTTTCTGGAGCCTAGAAAAGAGAAATGAAAAAATGAACCAAGAACAGATTCATATCAAGAAAGAGGGAGAGGTGCTGGGGATGTGGCTCAATTGGAAGAGTGATCACCTAGCATGCACAAACCTCTGGGTTCAACCCCAGCACTGCATAAAACAAGCATGATGGTACACACCTATAATCTCAGCATTCAAGAGGTAGAGGCAGATCAGAGGATCAGAAGTTCAAGGTCATCTTTGGCTACACAGAGAGTTCGGATTTTGAGGCAAGCCTGGGCTACATGAGGCCCAGTAAAGAAAGAATGAGAGGGGCTAGAGAGATGGCTCTGTGGTTAAGAGCACATACTGCTCTTGCAAAGGACTCGAGTTCAGTTCCCAGCACCCATTATCAGGTGACTCACAACCGCCTTTAATTCCAGCTGCAGGAGATTCCACCCATCTGGCCTCTTCCGGCACCAGTACACATGTGAATGCCTACCTAAAGACAAACATACACACATAAATGCACATAATTAAAATAAAATCAATATAAAAAGAAAGAGTGAGAGAAAGACTGGAGTGGAGGTGGAAAGGGAGAGGTGTGGCTTCACTTGACCTCCTAGTAAGACTGTTCCAAAAATAGTTCAGACCCAAAGTTACCTAAAATTGCTTCCTATGGGAGACATCCTTGTCTGTGACTTCCATGTTGTTGAAGTCGCTGGAAATTACTACACCTAATTAGCAGAATACAAAGCCAAAAGACATGTAAAGGGAAGAGAATCCACTAGGAGAATGAAATGTAAATACACAATGAAGCAGACTCAGGTATGGGACAGACCCAACAGTCCTCGTTGTCTTCAAAATGAGGAGACACTGAGTGTGCCACCTCAGGTCTGTAATCTCAACACTAGAGGGATCGAGGAAGCCTAAAGCAGGAAGATTGCTATGAGTTTCAATCCTGTCTCAAAAATGGAAACAAATAAAAACAAGGAGAAATAACTGTAAATGTGGCTGAGTGGGAGAGTGCCCTGGCTCTGCCAAGTCCAGCACCAAAAAACAAAACAAAACAAAAAAAGCTGCTTAATTAAAAATTGAGGAAATAAAGTCATGAGCCTTGGAAAAAAGGTCAGAGAAGATTCGGGGTGGCCTGCAAGATGGCTCAGTGGGTAAAGGCACTTGCCTCACAAACCTGATGGTCTGAGTTCAATCCCTGGAACCCACCATGAAAGGAGAGAACTGGACTCCTGAAAGTTGTCCTCTGACCTCTACAGGTGCACCACGCGCATGTGTGTCAACACTCATACCCACATACACACAATATAATAAATAAATGTGTTTTTAAACAAATTTTAAAAAATATTTTATTATTTATTTTATGTGTATGTGTGTATTGCCTGCATGTATGTAGTACACCTGTGTTGTGCAATGCCCTCGGAGGTCAGAAGAGACCATCAGATCCCCTGGAACTGGAGTTATGGATAGTTGTTAGCTGCCATGTAGTTGCTGGGATTTGAACCCAGGTCCTCTGCAAGAGCAGTCAGTGCTCTTAACCACTGAGCCATCTCTCTAGCCCAATAAATGTGTTTTTTTTTTTAAAAAAAAAAAAAAGGAATCCTGAGCCAGAGGGTGGTTCAGATGGTTCAGAGGGTGAAGAACTTGCTGCTAAGCCTGATGACCAGAGTTCAAACCCCAAACCCCATAGAGTGGAAGGAGAAAACTGACTCTACATGTTGTCCTCTGACTTCCACATGTCCATCATGGCACATGTACCTAAATAAATAAATAAATAAATAGATAAATAAATAAACAAATAAATAGGAATACTGCTGCCCAGCATTAAGGGAGCAAAGCCAACAACAACTTTGAATTATGATCCTCAGCGCTAGGGATGTAGCTCAGTAGTAAAGTGCTTGCATAGCATGCACAAGGTCCTGGGTTCCATCCCCAGCACTGCAAACAGCCTGGCAGAGTAGTGCATGACTATAATCTCAATGCTCAGGAAGGTAGTAAGTTTAAGGTCAGCTACTACTACATAGCAAGACCTTATCTCAAAAATAAAGGCGGCAAGGGCTGGGGCAATAGCTCAATCAGTAGACATGAGTTCAATCTCCAGAACCCATGTTAAAAAAGAAGAAAGCAGGGACTGGAGAGATTGCTCAGTGTTTAAGAGCACTGACTGTTCTTGTAGAGGACCCAGGTTCGAGTCCCAGCACCCACATGGTAGCTAACAACCGTCGGCCACTCCAGTTGAGGGGATTGGACACCCTCTTCTGACCTCCACTGACATGGTACAACATAGGCGCACTTACATACAATGCAGGCAATACAGTCATACACATAAAATTAAAATTAAAGAAAAAAAGAAGAAAATCAAGAGATAGCCAGATAGCTCAGTGGGTGAAAGCCTTGCTTTGCAAGCCTGGTGATCTGTGTTCAATCCCCAGAACCCACATAAAGGCAAAAGAGAACCAACTCCACAAGGTTGTCCTCTCACCTACACACACACACACACACACACACACACACACACACACACAATTTTTACAGCTACTAATGGCATCACGGGGGGTCCCACTCTCATATATATATATATATACATATGTGAAGTAGACAAAGGTGCTAAATCTCAGGAAGAAAGAGAAAGAAGGGAAATAGGAATGGTTAAGAACTGGAGCCAAGCCAGGCATGGTGGTACACGCCTTTAGTCCCAGCACTCAGGAGGCAGAAGCAGGTGGAGCTCTGTGAGTTCAGGGCCAGCCTGGTCTACATAGTGAGTTTCAGGCCAGCTGGGGCTACAGGGAGACCCTGTCTCAAAAAAGATTTAAAAAAAGAAAAGAACTGGAGTTGGGGGGTGCAGGCCATAATCCTAGCACGTGAGAGATTGAGGCAGGAAGATCAGTGTGAGTTCACCAGCCTGAGCTACATAAGGAATTCCAGGCCAGCTTGCCCTACAGAGTGAATTTCAGGCCAGCCTGGTCTACAGACTGAGACTTTGTCTCAAAGCAGGGAATAAAAAGATTTAACTACACTCTTCAAAAAGGAAATGTAAGGGCCAGGCATGGTAGCACACATCTTTAATCCTAGAAATCAGGAGGCAGAGGCAGATGGTTCTCTGTGAGATCCAGGCCAGCCTGGCCTACATAGTGAGTTCCAAGCCAGCTGATACAAATAAACTCCTAAGAAGAATGAGCCAGGCATGATGGCCCACACCTCTGATCCCAGCCCTCAGGTGGCAGAGGCAGGTGGAGCTCTATGAAATTGAGGCCAGAGTGGTCTACATAGCTAGTGTCAGGCTAGTGGAGACCCTGTCTCAAAAAGGCCAAACAAACAAACAAACAAACAAAAAAACCAAAAGAATAAAATTTAAAAGTAAAGCTACAAGCACTGAGAACAGGGCAGAGGGCAGTTGGAACTTGTACACTGCTGGAAAGCACTTAAGCAATTTCTTGTAAGTTAAACATATATTTATCACAAGTCCCAGCAATCCAGCAATTCTGTTCTTAGAGATTCATCCAAGAAATGTGAAGACCTGTTGTGGTGAGAAACAAAGGTTGTCACAGTGGATTTGCTTATGTCCACCAGCAGATAAGCTTTAAGACGGGCATGGTGGCACATACCTGCAACACTAGCACTTGGGAGATGGAAGCAGGAGGATCAGTTCCAGGTCACCCTCCAATACAAATTGAATTGGAGGCCAGCCTGGGCTTCAAGTGACCCTTTCTCAAAAAGCAAAATGAATGAATGAATGAAGTAAAACTTTGGTCTAGAGAGGTGGCTCAGGGGTTAAGAGCATAGACTGCTCGTACAGAGGACCTGGGTTCGATTCCCAGCACCCACATGGCAGCTAACAACTGTCCATAACTCCAGTTCCAGGGAATCTGATGCCCTCATCTGACCTCCACAGGCATTGCATGACACAGGTGCACTCACACACACAAAGGCAATACACTCATACTCATAAAATAAAAATAAGAAATAAAATTTTTTAAAAATTAAATGAAGCTTAGCCGGGCGTGGTGGCGCACGTCTTTAATCCCAGCACTCGGGAGGCAGGGGCAGGTGGATCTCTGTGAGTTCGAGGCCAACCTGGTCTACATAGTGAGTTCCAGGCCAGCTGGGGCTACAGGGAGACCTTGTCACAAAAAGACCAAAAAATAAAAAATAAAAAAATTAAATGAAGCTTTACAACAACAAAGGTTGCTACACATAAAACAGTAGATACCATATGACTCCACTTATATGCAATGAGAAAACACCAGCACTACTACAATAAAGATCTTATTAAGCGGAATGGAGAGTGTGGGGTCTCTGATGGGAAAAAGGGCCTCAGAAACTTTTAGGGCGGTATCATATTGTGATGCAAGTGAGCATAAAGTTGATAAATTTGTTGAAATTCATCAAAATGTGCCTTTAGCTGTGTTGCATTAAATTATATGTCAAGGGCTGGAGAGATGCCTCAGCGGTTAAGAACCCTACACTGGTTGTTCTTGTAGAAGACCCAGGTTCAAATCCCAGCACCCACATGGCAGCTAACAACTGTCCATAACTCCAGTCCCAGGGTATCTGACAGCCTCTTCTGTCCTCCGAGGGTATTGCACAACAGGGGTGCACTCACCTACATGCAGGCAATACATTCATACACATAAAATAAAAAATAATTTTTAAAAAATTTTTGTCTTTTTGAGACAGGATCTCCCTGTAGCCCCAACGGTCCTAGAACTTACTATGTAGACCAGGCTAGCCTTGAACTCACAGAGATCCACCTGCCTCTGCCTCCCGAGTGCTGAGATTAAAGGTGTGCACCACCACACCCGGCAAATAAAATATTTTTTAAAAAATTTTTAAAAAATTATATGTCAAGCCAGATGTGCTGGCACACATCTTTAATCCCAGCACTTGGGAAGCTGAGGCAGGCAGATCTCTGTGACTTCTACAACAGCCTGGTCTATATATTGAGTTCTAGGTCAACCAGAGTTACAAAGTGAAACCCTGTCTCAAAAAAAGGTTATTAGGAATGTGTCAGATTTAAGCTATGACTAACTTGTTTCAGTGGCATGGAAGTGGCAAGACTAATCAGCCACATGAAAATCAAACACAGAAATTTTGTCTTCCTTGACCCTCAGTCATCAAATGTTCAAAGAGTAATGGGGAAAGGTGGTGTTGTAATTCCCAGCACTTGGAAGGTGGGGGCAGGAAGATCAGGAGTTCAAGGCCAACCTCAGCTATGTAAGGAGTTCAATGCCATCCTGTGCTCGCACACACACACAGACACACACACACAGACACACACACACACACACACACACACACACCTAGAAAGAATAACTATAATATGTAAGTCACATATAAAGAAAATATAACCAACAAATTTAATGAATGAAAGATTTAACACCCACGTTGAAGCTATCCCTTTATAACAATGTATACGGCTATTTATTTCAAATCCTATTTCTAATGGAAAAGATGATCAAGTCAAGGCACTTCGCCTTTCGGTGTTGGGAAGTTCCTGACTTAGACTGATGGTTCTCCTGTGCAGGATTGCATCATTCATTCACGCTGTTTGTTGTGGGGACTGAAACAAGTGAAGCGATCTAAAATATGAACTGATGAATAGAAAGCCTTCAAACCCCAGGAGATAATTTACCTGTTCCAGTTATGAGAATCAGAGAGACTCTGGTTGTGGAAAGGGGAAAACCAGTCCACCGGCACAAGGGGGGCTTACCAGCACAGGGGGAGCTTACCGGGTAGTCCTTGGCTCTGGGGCCACAGGCCGTGCGCAGCGTTCCGGTGTCTGTAACTTTCCAGCAGCAGCAGCAGCGATCTGGGCCGCGGCAACGTGTAGGCGCTGAGTCTGGAGGGACGTGACCCGTGCAGGCGCACTCAGTCTTCACCAAACGGTGGTGTGGGATCTGCTGATACGTGGGGAGGCTTCAGATCAGTTCTTGGATGTGCTTTTCAGAACTGGAGACGCCAGATCTCAGCTCTGCAAAGCCGGGTAGGAAGGCCACCTTGGCCCCGCCCCCAGGGGAGGTGCTTCCAGTCCCGCCCCCTTCTTTCCCTCCCTGGGGCTCGGCGCTTGCAGAGCCAGACTTTCAAGCAGAGTTCTGTCTTCTCGGCTTTGCAGTTGGCCCAAAAGAGCCCCAAGAAGTCGCGCCCCATTGCTACATGAGATTGGAACACGCGAGAGAAGCGAGACCTGTGCACCGATTTTGCAATGCACGAAGCCCCTTCTGAGTCCTTTCTGAAATCTACATTTCCCACTATGCGCCTGTAGGAATGCAGGCCCCAAGAGAATTACAAAAACTACTTATACTAGCTGGTAATGTGATTCGGTTGGCAGAGTGATTGCCTAATGTGCAGGAAGCCCTGGGTGCCATCCCAAGCACCACATAACCCTGAGTGGTGGCTCGTGCTAGGAATCACAGCATCACAGCAATCATGAGGCACAGGCAGGAGAATCGGGAGTTCAGAATCAACCTGGCTAGAGATTGAGGCTAGCCTGGACTATAGGAGACCTGATCTCGAAAGTTAAAAAAAAAAAAAAAAAACAAAAAAAAAAACACTATACATACAACTAAAAAGCAAGAAACGTTAAGTGGAAAAAATCTTGACAGTTTTGCTCATATGTATGTGTGGTGTGCATGGGTGCTTGGTGTGTGCACGTGGTTGCCTAACATTGACATCAAGTGTCTTCCTTAATTGCTCTCCGCCTTATTCGTTGAGGCAGGGTAGCTCAGTTGAACCCAGGGTTCATGGATAAAGCTAGCCTACCTAGCCAGCGTTGCTCTGGGGAATCCTATCTCTGCCTTCCCAATGCTGGAATTCCAGGCAGCCACTTATGCTGACCTGGCATTTATGAAGGTTCCAGGGATTCAAATTCCAGACCTCTGGTTTGCACGGCCGGTGCCTTAGCCACTGAGCAATCTTCTCAGCCCCTGTTCCTGGGCTTTTTGTCTGTCCATTTGGTTGGTTTAGGTGTTTTTGTTTGTTGAGGGTTTTTTGGTTTTTTTTTTTTTTGGTACTGAGAATTGCTTCACACATATTAGTCAAGTGTTCTACCACTGAGTATTACATCCGTAGTCCTCTTTTTACTTTTTGAGATAGTCTAAGTTGCCCAGGCTGGCCTTCAATCACTCTGGCAGTCCTCCTTGTGATCCTCCTTCTTCAGCATCCTGAGTGACTGGGATGACAGGCCTCCATTACCAGGTCCAGCATGCACCTTTGTTCTGTCCTTACCCTGCCCCTTCCAGGTATCACCTGCCCAGCTATTCTTTTTTAACATAACCAATAAGCGGTGTTGCCCCCAAATATTTACATATAGCTGGAAACTGTGATTGGGCAATGAGGTCCACCATAATACAGCCTGAAGCCTCCAATGTTGACAATGTGTTTCCTTTAGCAGAGAGGATACCATGGCTGAGGCAGACCACTGGCCACAGCATCTATGCCCTTAACCATAGAATTCTCAAAATACACAATTCAACCCAAAAACAAGAGTCCCCATGCTCTTTGATCAGATGTGCCTTTGAAGTTCGCTACTCCCAGAATTCATTAGTTGAAAAATGGCTACAAACTTGTAACACAGTTCAACTTCTCCTACGTCTACCAGAGATGGATTTTTCTTGTCTTTTCTTTTCTTTTTTAATTTTCCTTCTTCCTTCCTTCCTTCCTTCCTTTTGCTATTTTTAAAATTACACTTAATTATTGGGGAGGGGGAGATGTACCCATGTGGAGGTCAGAGGACAATTTGTGGGAGTCAGCTCTCTCTACTCTCACCATGTGGGTCCCAATGATTGAACTCATCAGCCCATCCGGCTTGATGATAAGAGCCTTTACTTGCTGAACTATCTCATTGGACGTGGAGATGGTTTTGATGATGTAGAGTGCTTGCCTAGGTTCAACCCCCAATACTGGGGGAGGGGGGAAAGGGAAATAAGAGTTCTGAAATGGGCCTGGAGAGATGGCTCAGTGTTTAAGAGCACTGGCTGTTCTTGCAGACCTAGGTTCGATTCCCAGCACCTACATGGCAGCTAACAACTGTCCGTAACTCCAGTTCCCAGGGATCTAGCACCTTCTTCTCCGTAGGCATTGCACAACACAGGTGCACTTACATACAGGCAGGCAATACACTCATACATGTAAAATAACTAAAATAAAAGAGTTCTGAAGTAACAATCTGGTCAATAACATGTACACATTTGGAAGTAATTTCAAAAGAACTATAATAAAGGACACAAAATGTTAAACACTAAATATCTGAATATAAGTATAGACAGCAATGGAAAATTTTCTTTCAAGAGGAAAAGAAACTCAAGTACAATTAACATGAATGATTAGAAAAGACTAGAACAGTTTTCACTGTTATTCATATTTTATATTTATTGAGTATATATTTAATTAAATAAAATCCACCAGCTACCCACAGTCTTCATCTCTCCCTCATCTCACACCTATATTAACATCGCTGGGCATGGGACAGAATGCTGTGGACACTGTTTAGTTAGAGCACATAACACATTTTTTAAATTTTTATTTATTTTGGTCTTTTTGAGATGGCGTCTCCCTGTAACCTCAGCTGGTTTGGAACTATGTAGACCAGGCTAGCCTCGAAATCACAGAGATCCACCTGCCTCTGCCTCCCAAGTGCTGGGATTAAAAATCTGCACCACCAGGCTGGAGAAATGGCTCAGCAGTTAAGAACACTGGTTGTTCTTGGAGAAGACCCAGGTTCAAATCCCAGCACCACAGGGCAGCTAACAACTGTCTGTAACTCCAGTCCCAGGGGATCTGACAGCCTCTTCACATCTCCGTGGGCATTGCACGAATACAGGTGCACTTACCTACATGCAGGCAATACAAGCATACACATAAAATTTTTTTAAAAATTTGCACCACCATGCCTGAGTATTGTTTTATTTTTTTAATGATTTATTTTTATTTGTACAGGGTTTTTGCTTGCTTGTATGCATACTGGTATGTGCCTCACAGAGGCCAGAAGAAGACAACAGAGCCACCATGTGGGTGCTGGGATTCAAACCTGGGTCCTCTAGAAGAACAGCAAGTGCTCTTAACTCCTGAGCCACCTCTCCAGACCCATAACACATTTTTTTAAAAGCAGAGGAGGATCCAGGCATGGTGGTGCATGCCTTTTATCCCAGCACTGGATCTCTGTGAGTTCAAGGCCAGCCTCGTCTACATAGTGAGTTCCAGGTGAGCTGGGACCACAGGGAAACCCTGTCTCAAAAAGACCCCCCCAAAAAAAAGCAGCAGAGAAAGTTACAGAGGGATGGTGCACACTTATAGCAACAAGGAAGTGATCTTGCCAGAAAAGGTGTAACTCTATAGAAGGATTAAAATACTTTTCACTGTGGTTCTTGTGAGACTATTAAATGGTACAGATGAACCAAATTTAATACGGTATGATGAAATCATGATAAAAATACCAACAAGTCCTTTTAAAATTGAATCACAATTGACAGGTAAAAATACTACAAGTATTGCTAATATTCCTGAAAGACCTTCTTTTCTTTGTTAAATTTATTTGATTTTGCTGGGCATGGTGCCATACACCTTTAATCCTGGCACTGAGGAAGCAGAGGCTGGTGATCTTTGTGAGACTGAGGCCAGACTGGTCTACATATCAAGTTCTAGACCAGCTGGCACTACAAAAAAATTTTTTCTATTTACTACTATTTATTGTTATGCAGGATCTCACTGTTATAGCCCAGCCTTGTTTTCACCTTTCAATCATCCTGCTTGAGCCTTCCCAAGTGCCAGGATCACAGGAGTGTGCCACAGCACTCAGTGACTTGGTAAGTGGTAAAGCTGACAAACACCAGCAGAAAGTTCCAAAAATAACAAATGTAAAAACCTCTCTGTGTCTTGGCCTACCAAAAGTAGAAATCTGAATACTATAGTTGGGTTAGCATTTGATTTAAAAAACATTGGAGTGATACATGACATGGGGAGGGGTGGAAATGATGCAAATACACATGTATGAAATTCTAAAAAAAAAAAAAAAGCAAAATATACTTAAAAAATAAAATAGGGCTAAAGAGAAGGCTCAGCAGTTAAGAACACTGGCTACTCTTGCAGAAGACCCAGGTTCAGTTCCCAGCACCCACATGGCAGCTAACAACCATCCATAACTCCAGTTCCAGGGGATCTGACACCCTCTTCTGACCTCCGAGGGCAATGCACATCATGGGTGCACCTACTTAACATGCAGGCAAAACATACACATACATAAAAAATAAAATATTAAAAAAATAGGGGCTGGAGAGATGGCTCAGTGGTTAAGAACACTGGCTGCTCTTGCAGAGGACCCAGGTTTGATCCTCAGCACCCACACGGTGGCTGACAACTGCCTGTAACTCCAGTTCCAGGGATCTGATGCCCTCTACTGACCTTTGCAGGTATTGCACAACACAAGTACATTTACAGGCAGGCAATACATATAAAATAAAAATAATAAAATATTAAAAAATAGATTCAGTAAGATCAACTTAATCCCTTTGTATATAAAAAAGTACAAGTCACAAAAAATAAAAATAAAATAAATAACAATTTGAAAAAAAAATTATATTTAAGACTGGAGAGATGGCTCAGCAGTTAAAAAGCACTGGCTGCTCTGGATCTATGTTTGGTTTCCAGCACACACAGGGCAGCTGACAACCGTCTTTAACTCCAGTTTGAAGTTATGCTTTCTTCTGGCCTCCACCAGCACGGAAAGCATGTGGTGCACTTAGACACAAGTAAGACACTCATACACGGAAAAAAAAAATTTTTTTAGAGCTGGGCATGGTGGCACACGCCTTTAGTCCTAGCACTCAGGAGGCAGAGGCAGGAGGATCTCTATGAGTTCAAGGCCAGCCTGATCTACATAGTGAGCTCTGGGCCAGCTGAGGCTACAGGGAGACCCTGTCTCAAAACAAACAAACAAACAAAAAACAAGAATCATTTTTTTAAAAACCCCAAATACCAAATGTCTTAAATAATGAAAATAGTATGTCTG